CAAAAAAAGAAACATCCGCTAAAATCGCGGCAGATATACGACATAGAACCAAATACGAATAACAAAGAGAGTAGAACATTATACAAAACAATGAAAACAATGTTAACACACTAAAAAGCCTAATGTTTTTCATATTCTCTCAGTGGCGGCATGCAGTGCCCAGCGCCCATCATCGCGCGCTTGGAGCAAACTGCCACCGTCAAAGGGCTGTAACTAGGCGGAGAGGAGGGGGTTTGAAGAGGTTTAAAAAATCTGTAAGGCTTTGGATATAGGTTAATTTATGTAAAGATACAAATACATGTAAAGAGAGGTAAATGTATGGCTTTGTTAGCTTTAGCCACCTTAGGTGGCTCTTTAGGTGGCTGAAAGCCACTTAGCTTTGACAAAAAAGTTTGTCACACTTCCGTTCAGATAATTTCTTTTTATATTTTACAAACATAGTTCCAGCTCTCCATTGGGCATCTATACACCGGTTTTGGTGTCATATTCTCTCCTTTTCGCTGTAAACAAGCCTTTTTATTTCGCGGCACATTTTTAGATTGCAGCCATTGTGCTGACAGCATATTTTGGCGAAAAGTTGTTGTTTCAGCAGAGAATGGGATTTGCAAAGCTGATAAGCAATTGGAAGTCTTCAGAAGTTGAGACGTGGAATAGAAAAGTTTGGGAGATAGTTGTAGAGGAGGGGAAGAAGTTGGGAGTGTGCAGAAGTCATATATAATTCATGTGATTAATGCGATGGGATAGGTGTTTGTTAGAGGGGGGGGGGCTGCAATGTTGTGTTGATGAGCGCGAAATTGGCCAACTTCTCGAAATTTTCCACTTTTCTAATCTTATATATAAAGCTGAATGTCTGTTTGTATGTATGTCTGTCTGTCTGTCTGTCTGTATGTCTGTCTGTGTGTACGTATGTTCCGAATAGAAAATTCCATTTCGGAACCGATCCGGACCAAACTTGGCACACATACACTTCGGGCTCCGGCGGGTGTCATAGGCTACTTTTCGTATCGATCGATATCGATTTTATCGATTTTTAATTTGAGCTACGGGGCTGGGATTTGGCAAGGGGGTAATCGAGCATGCTCATGCTCGATTACACCCCTCTGCCAAATTCCAGCTCCCTAGCTCAAATTTTGCAAAAAATCGATAAAATCGATAAAAGTAATGCACGGTTTCGAAAACTAATATTGTATTTGTTATCAGCATGCTCGATTACCCCCCTGTGCCAAATCCCAGCCCCCTAGCTCAAATTTTGCAAAAAATCGATAAAATCGACATCAATCGATAACGAAAAGTGGACTGTGACACCCGCCGGGGCCCGAAGTGTATGTGTGCCAAGTTTGATTCGGATAGGTTAAGAAATGGAATTTTCTATTCGGAACATACGGCGGAGCCGGGTAAGCCAGCTAGTTTCGTATAAAAACCCATTTGAATTCACCTTGAGTGTTAAGAGAGTTTTCTGGAATATCTATTACATTAGGTAGTTCTAAAAATTCACAGAAAGAAGTTCGGAACGACACAGCGTACAGGATGCCCCAAAAACAATGCGAACCCCGTTCGATTGATAGTTCTCTTGCTTCCAGTGTTTTCTGCCGCTATTAGGTGTTATTCTTTATGGCTGGCTACAACTTAGTTTTGCTCCATAAGCAAATCTCTAATCTCTCACCTGCATTGTAGAATTACTGTAGGAACTTTTCGCATACAAAACTATCCTGAAATAAGCCGGTTGATAAGAAACACTCCAAAAAACTGAAGTGTATAGCTGATTTTATTACACAACTTTTCGCAAGATTTCTGAGCTTATTGTGGTGCAAGCGCATTTTTAAAGAACATTGGAAAAGCATTAAATCTTTTACTTTCTATAACTCGTGGAAGAAAAGTGACTGTGTGCAAAATTCGTACAGCTTTTAGTTTCATTGTTTTTTTATGGGGCAAAATGCAATTTTCAATAGCTTAGAATTCTTTGCAGCTAACCTATTTATCTTGAGTAATAATGAGAAATCATGACGCTCGTCTGTTATGAATGATAGCTAAGAATGTACAACTCGAAAGCACTCAGCAAATGAAAAGTCGCCCACATTTAGATGCACCATTTCGAATGTGGCCATTCCGTCTTTGCTCTTGGTGTTTACAAACGACATAGGATAACAAAAGAGCGAATACCTAACTTTCGTTATGTTCTCGCTCACTATACGGAAAAAGAAGAAAATGAAAAGGTAGTAAAGATAAAAATTCAACTAATGCTGTACGGTCTAAACAAGCTCCATAAGTTCAGGAGTTCTTAATTGAGTCTGTAATGAGGAGCTTGAATATAGTTAATAAGCAACACAGAAAAAAATCAAGGGAAGATTTTGAACATGGACTAGGTTGTAACTCGATCCAATTTTTTAACAATTTTGAAATTGGCGCGCAATGAGAGTCATACCTATTGTTGGCTGGAGCGTCATTTATCAAGGTGGTAGTAGGAAACATGAGAAAAAAGGAGGATACAGTTGTACAAGGGTTTGTAACAATATTTAGAAATAGATTCAACCAAATTCAAACTTTCCTTATCTATGCCAGCATAACAATGTCCGGTAGCTAACTTTTTATGAATACATTTAGATGATGCACTCAAGAATATCTTCACTCCACTGTTAAGTAGTTGATCTTTTAGCATGGAAGTCGTCATGCACTGTGGTCTTTGATTTGAACGAAGGATGATTTCAGCGAATACCACGACTTCTCAGACAATCGCCGGGGGCAGGCGGGCGCCGGAATATACGCGTTGCAGACATTTCGCATTCCGCTCGCAAATTCCAGTCAGGTGGTCCGCGAGTTTTGAGAGACCGCCTGCTGAATCTTTTTTCGCTCGTATTTGCAGATATATTGCTGAATCTCTGAGGAATCGAGAACTCAGGAAGCGGCGTTTCGAAAAGTCCTGATTGCTTTCCAAAAAATCCCGCGAGCGGAGTGCAAGAAATCAGCCATTTATTTTTCCGGTGTTTGCCTGCCCCGGCAATTGTCTGAGTTGTTCAAGAAATGTTTCTAAATTCTACCGGAGTTATCACCGAGTGTATTTGCTCATAACAGCCTTTAAGGGGCTCGACTTTTTGATGCCATCTGGTTCTGCCTGTGCGAACGTATACTTATACTCTGGGCAGTTTCACTGTGAGCTAGTAGAGAGTAACGAGCGTCATGAAAAAATGCCAAAGAAACGTTCTCGAGTGCCAAAAAGTGAGCAAGGCAAAAGCGATGACTCAACCAGTCGAAATGCGGGCTCGGATTCAGATACTAAGGATATATCAAGGAGTCTCGAAAGTCCTGTCATTTTCAAAAACTCTGCGCTATTTTGACGAATTAGCTTCTAATTTTATCAAAAAAAAATCTTCTTCGTTGCAATTATGTTTTTTTGAGCTTCCTATACCATTCCTTGCAGAAAGAAAAAAATAAGAAAACCATTTCACGGTTTCTGGAATCGTTGGCATGTATATCAGTTTTATGACATAATCTTTGCAAATGGAAAAAATTTGTGCTGCTTAAACGTTTCTGTCAAAAGTTATGATTTTTAAGAAAAGTGACATTAATCGAATTTGCCGTATTCTATTAGGTTGAACCGAAAGTTCTTTCCCCCCATTTTCAAAAAATCATAACTTCCGATTTTTTCAACCAACTTGGCTGAATTTATTTTTGTATTAAAGAATAACACATGCTCTTCAAAATGACATCTTAGCTGCTCGCTAATGACCATAAAAAGGAGCGATAGAAGAAAATTAGTCAAAAATCGAATTTTCTGTGTAGGGTCATAAAAAATCGGAAACTTGCAACAAAAATCGGGCAGTCGGTATTGTAGGTTCTTTCACCAGCTCTTTCTAACTGTGCAAAAGTTGTGCCGATTGAGCGTCTCTATGAAAAGTTACGATTTTCGAGCAAGCAATACAAAATAGCGAATTTGAATTATTTTGGCATTTTTCAGGGAAATCATAACTTTTGATAGAAACACTCAATCGATGCAAACTTTGCCCCATTAGAAACAGCTGGTAAAAGAACCTACAATACTAACTGCTCCGATTTTTCTTGCAAGTTTCCGATTTTTTATGACCCTACACAGAAAATTCAAATTTTGACTGATTTTCTTCTATCGCTCCTTTCTATGCAACAGATGGTCATTAGCGAGCAGCTAAGATGTCATTATGAAGAGCATGAGTTACTCTTTCATACAAAAATAAACGCAGCCAAATTGGTTGAAAAAATCGGAAGTTATGAATTTTTAAAAATGGGGGGAAAGAACTTTCGGTTCAACCTAATATTACAAACTCGTAATACATAACCTCACACGAAAATGTTCAAAGAGCACAAAATGTCTCCGGTTGCCAAGCTCAGGTCATAAAACTTAATGACAATATCAGTTTTCCCTGCAACGTTCGAGTCTTTGACTAACTAATTCAGAATAACCAATGCTTGAGTGTCCCTTTTTCCATCTTACTGAAACTAGCTGGCTTACCCAGCTCCGCCCGGCCCTGTTAATGCATTATAATAGAGGCCCCATCCATTTTCCTGCATAATCTTCTTTCTTTGTCCACTTCTTCATGCAAATTCCCTAAACCCGCTGCGTTAGTAATCAGCATGCTCACTTACCCCGTGTGCCAACTCCCAGCCTCGTAGCTCAAACTTTGCAAAAATCGATATCGATCGATAACGAAAAGTAGCCGCTACGACACCCGCTCCCGCCCCGAAGTGTATGCGCAAAGTTTGGCCCGGATCGGTTCAGAAACAAAATTTTCTCTTCGGAAGATACGTACAGACAGATAGGCAGACAAACAAACAAACTCTCAGCTTTATATATGAGTGCAAAAAAGAAACCCAACAGGATACATCTATAAAGAGGAAAATTTCTTTTTTTCTCAAAGATCGAGCATATGCTAAAAGTTGCAAGTTTCAAAAATGAAACGACAGAACTTTTTGCAAATGCAGATAACAAGTTGCCTACAAGAAAAGTTGTCGCTACTCATAACATTTCTTACCTCATAAACAACACGGGCATAAGCCACGCCAAAATCCAGCTTCTTCAACGGTTTTGGGGGAAGCACACGACTTTTTATCTCAGTGCATGTCATGTTCAGCCATCGGTTTTTTTTCAGCGCTGGACGTTTGAGAGCAATATCTTTGATGTAAGCCTTAATAAATGTTTCTGTTTGGCCATTCACAATTATTAAGGTGGACGGTAAAAAATGGGACACCCTGAGATTATAGCTTTCTCAAAAAAGAGAAGTAAATAAACTTTCTTATTTTGACAGGTATTAGAATACATTATTTTCTTTCAGATAGTACCCATATAAGCTCGTCTACATACCTAATGACTATTACTTGCTGAAATGTAAAGTTAATCACTTCGACAAGTTATGAACTTGTAGCAGTATGTGCGCAATGGAACAGAAACCATTCAAAGTACTACTGCTGCAGTGGGTTAAGGTACAGTCCCGAACTCCCTATGGCTTGCTGGCCGCAACGCTCAAAATCAGGAGACATGGTGATTCGTGTTTCGAGAACGAAGATATGTGCCATTTACTTCTTTGCAAGTTACCGCACGTTTTCTGGCTACCATTTGATAAAGCTCTTAGGCTCTATTTATCCATATGCTTTTACCTCACATTTCTCCTATTTTCAAAAATTGGGGATTGAAACATGATTTTTTGGTTTTTATTGCAACAAAAACTCGCAATTTCTCAACTTTTTTGCTTCTTTATCTAGAAATAGAAACAAACCTACATTTTTAATAAACCGTTTATAAGAGCATGAAGAGCTCTTTCGAATGGTAAGTGACTCGCTTTATAACTTTACGGTATGGCAGCGCAAGAATGAGAGATGTTACCCCCCCCCCCCCCCGTTCGAGTTGTTTGCGCCACGCCAAGCATTGTGGGAGAGGAGCGTTAACGCGTTATCCATATAATGAGTTGTTACCTGCTTGCTCTTGCTTGATACAAAACTCCCAAAATGTAATGAAAATCAAGCTGTCCCATTTTTCATCGTTCAACCTAATACTTTGTGTATTAACCTGGTCTCCACGTAGTACTCGTCCACATTCCACATGCTGAGTTTCAGGCTTATGAGGAAACACAGGTACATCATATTCGTTTAACAGCTGAAATCACATCAGTACTTAGCACACCCGCACCCATTTAACAGTCAAAAGCGTATTGAGATATTAGACTATTCAAAATCTGAGCCGCTAAATGGCATAGCATAGTCTACTCGAACCTACAAGGTTAGTATTATACTTGGGTAATTCGAAATTTTCCCATCGAATGAATGAATATCGAATACCTAAATTCGAAAAGGAAAAATTTCGAATAAACGAATATCGAATAAATTCGAAAAGAATCTCGAATAAACGAATATCGAATGAATTCGAGGTTCAAAAATTTTCGAATGAATGAATTCCGAATAAATTCGGAAATTCAAAAATATCGAATGAATGAATATCGATTATATTCGAACATTGGGAGCCGAATTTCGAATAAATATTCGAATGATTTATCGAATAACTAAAGCAACCAAATCTCAAACTTGCTGACGTATCTGGCTGAAGCCGATTCATTCATGACCAGCACCCTCACTTACCCCCTTGTACCAACTCCCAGTCCCGCAGTTAAGACTTCTCCAAAAATCGATAAATTAGATAAAGTAAAGTTTTATCCATAATCAGCACCCTCACTAACCTCTTTGTACCAACTCCTAGCCCCGCAACAACACTTATGTACTTAACACATTGACGACAATGCAGATTTTTAGTGGTCTGCCTTTTGGGACCAAGGCCTTTTTACGGATCAGCCCACTTTTTCAACTATAATTGCGCATACTGTCATCTACAGTACACCTACAGTAGATCTGAAAGGCTGGCAACAAAGGTAGAAGTCATCCCTAGATTCTATACAAAAGAAAGCATGGAGTGAGTTTATTTCAAGATAGTAGTCATTTTACCACAATTCAAGCCTTGACACACATGGTGTCAAGCGGTCCCACACAATAGTCATTGCTTGACACACCATGTGTGCCAAGCAGTCGTCAATGTGTTAAATGCCACAAATGCTACGATACATTGCCTGTTCATCGGAGACTTTCGTCTTTTGTGGCATAAGCTAATCGTGAACGAAGGCATATGGTTTATCCCGCAAAGCGAGCACGATTGTCCCTAGCCCTGGGCATACTGCAGGTATTTCAGTGGCGACGTGGTTTGGCAATAGTCATGTCCAAAACTTGTTCTAAAAGAACAGAATGTACGGCATTTATCTTTTTAGTAAGTTGTGCACGCTAAACATTTATGGTAAGCTGGCGTTATATTTGAAGACATCTCGTAACTGGCAAATCACGTACGGCGATCTAAGCCGTCTAATCTTCCACTACAATTGCGATGTCCTTTACTCAAAATACACCAATTCGCAAAAAAACTCTAAGGTAGCGAATAGAGGCAGTTGTGCAATATAACTTATGCGAGCAAGAGTGCTCACTAGGTGGGCTTTGCGTACCACAAGCATGAGAAATTCAAAGAAAGAAAAACAGACATTTTAAAACTCTTTCAATATATGAACTTGGAATATGACCTTGAATTTGATAGCTTCTTTGCTGATTTGATGCCAATAGCAGTGCGGACAATCTCATTGGTCGAAGAAGCATCAATTAAAATCCATATATGATTTCTTACTGTCAAGCAATCGGAAGATTGCGACCCTCCCTACAGTTCAAAGGTCATAACGGTTGCAAGAGCTGCTACCGAGTTTTGCGAAAAAAAAAAACGCGGACGAAGTGAGCTTGATACTCAGCAGTTGGCTCTGCAACAAAGTCGAATAGTTTGAATACGGATTTTATTCGAATACGAATTTGAATAAACATTCGAATAAAACATTCGAATAATATCTATTCGAAAACCTTTTTTTGATTATTCGAGTTTTCGAATTTTATTCGAAACCCTGTTTTTTGATTATTCGAGTTTCGAATTTTATTCGAAACCCCGTCTACTCAATTATTCGAATTTCGAATATTATTCGAAAATGGAAGAACTCCGAATATCGAATTTCGAATACGAATATATTCGAATGTTTTATTCGAATGATCGAAATTCTACTCGATTCGGACCCAAGTATAGTAAGTATGCGGAAGTTTGACGAAATTTCTATGAAGCAACATAAGTGCAGATGATCATTTGCTTGATTACGAATTTCCAAAAAAGCTTAGCGGCAAAATGATCATCTATAATATAAATCGAAGGAGTCAATTTTCTGCAACGTAAACTTTTGCCGAGCTTTGCAAACACTGTCTCACTCTACAGAGCAATTTTGTTTATAATTTGAATGTTAATCATTCCAGAAGAGCTATAGAATTGGCAGCGAAGGCTCGGTTAGCTTGAAGGTCGTCAAAGTCTCATCACCCTCCACCCAAGTGAGACTTTGACGATGTAGAATAGCGGTGCATCTAACCATACCTTCAATAGTCTGAAGACAAGGCCTCAAAAAATGAAGGTTGTTCATAAAAAAATTAGAGAAGAGCAAGATATGCAGGACAAATAGCAAAAGCAAAGCTCTTCAAAAACCGGTTAAAATGCAATAGGTATAAAATTTTTTCTTTGGCGGCATTTCAAGTTGAAGGTTTTCGGTCCATGATCAGGCAATTTACAACACGGGAAAAACGAGGGAAACCTAGTTTGCTCTTTGTGATTATTATGAAAACAACCATGTTTTGATAGTGGTGATGATTAACAAGAAAAAGATAAACAAGAAAAGAATTAGAATGACTATGCAAAACTTTGTTTTTACTAAGTCGAGATGCACGTCGAAGCCAATCTAGTTCTTGATGAGTCCTTTGATTTTATGAAGGTTACCAGAGTACATGGCTCTTTGCCAAATTAAGAGCTCATCTCCTTTCATTTACTCGCTTGCAAGCACTGTCTACACAGATTACAGGGTGTCCCAAAGAATGTGCCTGCTGTTTGTTGGCTAATAATTTCTTGTAATAAAGTCTTTCAAAAAGCATTAGGCACTGTTTTGTAGAGCTGGCTTCGACTTAGATTCGCAGTATAGAATGAATCGTCGATCACTCTTCATTATTGTGGGAATATGATAGAAACTTCAAGCATAGAGTGTCACTGTGAAAAAAGCTGCAGTTTCAAAAAATTTCAAAAAATGTGAAAAATTATGTAATAGGGTTCCCATGGACGGTGAGTTCAATACTCAACTATTTACAAGATTGCGAAGCTTTCTAAACGGTGTAACCGCACTTTTTGGGAACAGAAGAAACGGTCGGTACCGCTTATTGTGCATAACTTTTTAATGAGGCATTATGATAAGTTGCGAACTCCACACATAGGATCAGCAACTCTAGATGGCTCACTTGAAAGATTTCATGCTGTTTTATTTGTTTTGTGAGGCAAAATATAACCTTTCATATCTCAACACCCTCTTCAAAGTAGATACCGTAATCCTCCATAAGTGAAGAGCAATCGGTGATTCGCTTCATGCTGTAAATCTAAGTTGAAGCCAGCTCTACAAAACGGTACCCGTTGCTTCTCGAAAGACTTCATACCAAGAGAATTATTGACATTCCAGTAGGCACATTTTTTGGGATACCGTGTATATACAAAGTGTCCCCAAAAATTCTACTGTCTGAATGTTAATGACTTTCCTGCCGTAAAATCTTTGAGAAGATTTATGCGCCGTTTTTCAGAGCTTCTTCAACTTAGATTTATGGAGCAAATCACCAACTTCACTACTGCGAGATTACGGTAGGAGTACGTCTAGAATGTCTCCATTGTGTAACAGCCGTTCGAAAAAAAATACTGGAAAATCTGGAAAATTGTGTATTAAGGTTTTTCATACAAACTAATATCATTACCGTGAATTCACGCTTACAAGGCGCACCTTTTTCAGTTTTTCAAGCGTGCCGCTCAGCCGGCTCGTTGTGTTTCCTAAAACGAGACTTATGCAGCACTATACTCTCAGGCAATATGCCGCACTGCAAATAGTCTTTTGGTCACAAAGTCCTTAGTATCTATGTTGTTCGATGATACATTTTTTTGTGCATTCACAAAGCTTTTGAAATGGCGTAATTAAATCCTTGACGAAAACCAAAAATGTGTTGTTACGGTATTTTCTGCATATTACGAAGAAGGCACAATGGTGAAGTGCACACTTCATATTTAAATTCAGCGGCTCTAACTAGCCTATTTTATGAGTTTTCAGCTCCTTTATTCTTTTTAGGGGTAAATATGACCTTTTAATGATTCCTAAAGGTCACTACCGCATTTACAGAGGTGAAGAGACAACGTTAACTCATTTTGTACTGTAAATTGAGTTGAAGCCAGCTCTACTGAAAAATACTTGAAGCTTCCCGAAAGAGCCGATGACAAGAGAGTTGTTAAATGCAAACAGTAAACAATCTTTTAGACACCCCGTATATATATGACGGCCACCTTTTCACATGGCTATGAACCGATAAATGATAACTGGCAAGCATCGGCCATAACATTTTGGTTGAAGTCTTTGAGAAACATATTATTACAGCTCAAAAAAGTGAAGAAGCTACTGTCTTTTTTACCCGTTTGTATTTTGATTTTTAAGAAAGAAAATAGTGCAACTGCTGCATGAACGTGTGGAATGTGTAAGATGTGGAAGATGAGTAAGCCAATCCAAGGACCACGGATCTTCTGGGCAAAAGTTTTTTTTAGCAATGAAGAACTTACAAGGGAAGCATGTTTGGTCGAAGTGGCCTTTTCAGATGAGACCCATACTGCTTTAGAGAGTATTGTACGGTAAATCCAAATCTGCCTTCATTATCTGCCAAGCGCTTCTGGACGCCGAGTCATGACCGCTTTTGCAACGGAAAATGACTGCAGAATTTGGGTAAAACCAATTGTCACAATCTTTCCAGCGCTCAGTTAAAGCAATGTAATTATTAGCATATTAGACAAAATATATCCATTGCATGAACTGCTCTGGTACTCGACACCGGACTATTTGAGCGAATTTGGGCAATTTTGCTCCAATTTTGCGTTCAATTTTTTGACCCAAAAAACGCCCATAACTCGGCGTGTGGAGGCGCTTGGCAGATAATGAAGGCAGATTTGGAATTACTGTGCAATACTCTCGAAAGCAGTTAGGCCTCATGTGAAATGACCACTTCCCTGAACACGCTTTCCTTGTTAGATCTTGGGTTTTGCTTCAAGTGCATGAAAGTGTACAAACAATTAGACGCCACCTATAACGCTTTTCATTCTCCTTCAAACTTTGCCTTAGGTGTAGTATAAAAATGAAATTTTTGATTTTGCAGAACGGGCATTAATTTTTAGACAAACTGACGGCTTAACAGACTGTGAAACGGCAATAGATCACATTTAGGACAGTGACTTACTTCATCGAATGTATCCTGCTTAGAATATTATTGCTTTGCAGAAAAATCTCACCATTCGGAATTTAATTAAGCGGCAAAAAAGCACTTTCCTATAATTTCTCTGGCAGAATGTTTGCTCGGCATCTAAAGCCGAAACCAAAGTCTTCTGTCATGAATGCTTAGCGTACATAAAGTATTGGTACAAGTTAGTTCTTGGATACTCAGAAATCTTATTTTGGATACTCAGAATCGTGAATTTGGTAAAACTTTCTTGCAATGTACACATAAATACCAAGAGAAGAAGGTTCTTGGAAACATTCACATTTCAATGGTAGGAAGACAAAACAAATAGACGTATAAAATCTGTTCATGAACAAAGGTATCGAAAGAAAAAGTATGCGACGGTTTTGCTTCAACAATTGGAAGCAGTAAGAGCCTTTCTCCAGAAAAAAATCTCGAAGTTGTTGCTCGTGCACGCTTAAGAGTTTAAACTTCCTCTTCGCTTCAAGAAAACCATCAGCCAGCCAAAAAAAATCAATAAAGTTACCTGACATTCGAAACCACGTTTGTGGAGTAGATTCCAATTGAAATAAAGCATGGTTACTGAAGACAAGGAAGCAGAGATTATATAAATAGCTGCGGATTTGAATCTAAGCATTGTTATGTAACCTAGAAAATGGTAGGATTCTTGCATTGTTCGTAAATCATGTTTCACACATCTCTTGAATGAAGGGTTGCCAGCAAACAGAACATTAACAATATTTTCACGGATTCGCAGATTCTATAAATGAAGTGAGAAAAAAGGATTGAGGTAGTGTGTTCTGAATAGACTGTGCAAAAAAAGACAGATATTTCTGCAAAATCCATTCATAGAAATTTCGGTGCATCTTCACACGTATCAAAGCCGAACTTAAAAAAACTTGCGGTACTAGTAAATCTTACTAGTACTACTTCTCTTCAGTTTTGCTTCTCAAAACGCGGTAAGCATAGCAAGCAACAGGGCAAACGATCGTTATTCCTTGTCACCCTTCCTGCCAGCATATATAGTAGTGTATAGATGTTACGTGTCAATCGCGGCTCGCGTTTGCACATTTCAATGTTTTTTGTCAGTGTGAAAACATGACCTTTCGTACAAAAAAAATTTATATGGTATTTCGTAAGCGTTTAATATTGTGTACGTCTTTGTCATTTCTGGCACATTCACTGTCGATAGCAGAATAGATACGATTGGAAGGGGAAAAGTTTTTTTTTACTGCAAGTGAAAAACTTTAACGCTGTTTAGTCCACAGTCGTGACATTAATTGATGATTAGAATCAAATGCTTGTCAACTTCATAAGCTTTTCAATGACTGTATCTCAAATTTGAAAAAATTTCAGAACTGAAACCTCTCGATGGCGTCATCAAGTCCACATTCATGGAATTTAAAAAGACTTTACCTTGTGATTTTGATTTGTACCCGAGAGGTCTTTATGGTGGACCTTTACTGCCTAATCCTTCGACAAGTATCGTCTTCTTCGGAAGCCTTTAGTCCACCGCGGAGTTAGTAGTCCGCACGACTTTGACGGACATCACCGACATCATCGTTTTTTTGCAATTTCGAGAAGCTACCTCGTGCCGAGCCCTGATTTAAAGGGCAAAACTGAGTCGTTCAGGGCCGCATGCTTTAACATTCCTATCGGGGAGGAGATCACAGCTCAACAGAAAGCTTCATATCCTGAAGCTTCAAAATTCTGGATTTCGCGTGTCTACCTATCCGTAAGGGTTCCTACCATCCTTCACTATGAACATATTGAACATGAGCGAGAACCTGTACAAGCTGCATTTTCCAGCTTTTTGTATGATTCCCTGATGATCCTCGGCGGCCGACCGTCTTTTAAGTCATTTTTCTTTCTTCGAAGTTAACGAAAGCCTTCCAAAGTTGTACAGATTATTGACCCAGTGCTAAGCATGTTGCTGATAAGAACAAATGATGTTTTGGAGTCATGATATTTGCGATGAACCACAAGCCGAAAGTTGGGGTTTATCGAGAAATTCGATTTTTCAAAAACCCATTTGTTCTTATCAGCAGCATGTGCAGCACTGTGAGTTAAATAATCGTACAACTTTGGAAGGTTTTCGATGACTTCGAAGGAAGAATAATGATTTTGAAGAAAAGACAGTCAGCCACTAGGGACCTTCAGGGGTCATACAAAATCTGGAAAATGCGGTCTATACAGCATCTCGCTCGTGTTCAAGATGTTCTTAGTCAAAGACAGGGAACACCTTTGAATAGGAGACAGCGTGAAATTCAGATATCTGGAGCCTCAAAATAAGAAGCTTTTTTAAAGCTGCGATAGCGGAGATGTTAGTGCATGCGATTCTCAGTCAACAAATATGGCAAGGTAAAGAATAGCCACTGCCGCGCATGTTTTTCTCATTGGGCAAAGCCCCACAATTATTTTTACTGAAGACACCTACAAGAAGGGGGAACGAGAACTGCTCTTTCAAACACTTATTTGAAATTGCATACAGTTTGGTTAAAATGGCTAGTTAGATCTTAACCATTTTTTTTCGTGAGCATTCTTTTTCAAACAGCTGTTAACTTTGGCAAAGAGATCAAAGCATTTGTACGATAGAAAAACTTTTGCTTCAAAGAGGACTGTAAGTAGACTAAGGTGTCGAGGGTAGCATTATTCGAAACCATGACGCTAAGACTTTTTTCAAAACAATTCTTGTTTTTCATGACATTTTTGTGACTTTCTTCTTTTTCATGACATTTTTTGTTTTTGCATAGGAACCGGAGTCAGGAGGGGATGGCTGGAAGTTTTTGCATAGGAACCGGAGTCAGGAGAGGATGGCTGGATAAGTATGAGTATTAGAATGACGAAGAGGATAGTGCATTGTCCAGTACTAAACCCACCGCATATTCACTAAAAAGTGTGATATTTTGTAGTGAAAGAACTGACATTCACTAGAACGTGCATCATCCAGTTCTGGAAACGCTGACATTTACTGGAACGTGCATCACCCTATCCTGGAATCATCGCACGCTCATGAAAACGTGCGTAATGCTTTTTTTGCAAAATTTGTCAGAAATAACAGACTAATGAAAGGTAATTATTTTAGGAAGGCCGTCGCTTTATATCAGTTTCCTAGTTGGTGGCTTGGTTGGCCTCATTATTGTAGGCATTGTGGTAATCATAATTAGGAAAAGAGGATGCGCCGTGGCGCAGCGTCGATTGAAGAGGTACGTCGATACGGGAGGGTGTAAATGGCACCAAGCGGTAGACCCAGGCACTAAACTCGCCTAGATTAGTGCTTCGCGATGACCGCTCGCTTATGCTGGTGTTCAAGGCAAGACGCGAGCAATTAGATTTCACGAGGCCTATTATTTGTATCATACTCATCATTGCGCGTTTATTTCCTCGACGCTTCAAAAAGGAAGGGCATTTTGGGGTCTCACAGGTCGGAGACAGGAAAAACAAAGCGTAGAATATGGTTGGTCGCTATTTTCAACGTTACGAGGAGAGGCAAATGCAGAGCCAGATATAATCCATAGCGAATATTGGATTTGATTCAGCACCCTCGTTTGCACTATTGGCCACTGACATTTGTGCACTGTATACGAGTAAAAACTATAGACCACTGCATTATCAATTCAATTTGGTCCTGTTGTTCCGCTGTAGTGTCCTACCTCCACCTCCACTCCTTATACGAAATAACTTTATCAGGTTGTTACATAAGTTTTGTTACGCTCGATTGAAAAAATTCTCATAACTTTGTCAAATGATTTTCCTTGTCGCCATTATGTATAGGTTTTTGATATATACTCACGCATATGTGCAAGTTTCTGATATATATATTAGGTCGTTTCAAAAGTAATTTCGCTTTTTTCAAACGGGCACCAGATTTGAAGGAACAAAGCTTTCTAAGAGGTCTTAGAAGCATTCGATGCAGAATTTCATGTTTTCTATTGGTTATGAAAATGTTGCAAAACAGTCAATAAGCTTTCAGAAAATAACCAAAATTTGCGACCCATGCTTTTTTAGATGGTCAAGTTTCACGATTTTTCAAGACTTTCATAACAATCCTCAGAAGGAGTTCAAGCAAAGATTTGGTAGAGTAAACTTTACAGAATACAATACTACTTTTTTCTTTTTCTCGTAGCTCGCCGTAATTTTTTAAAAGATTTCTTAGCAGAACCATCGGATTTTAGCAGGCCCACCTTAACTACAATTGCATCAAACATCAGTGATTACTCGGAATTTCAAGCTTTCAAGATGATATATGACTTAATATCTATTTTATAAAGCAAATGAGAGTTTACGGGTTCGAAATATCAAATTTCGAATTTTTCGGGTACAGCCTGGGGCTCGCTAAAAAAATGAGTTATGATGATTTCTCCCGGAAACTAAACGAATCGGAAACAAAAAACACCCGTTAGAAAGAGGAGAAAATGCTGCATCGATTAGTGCGCGAGCTGCTCTTCTTTTGATGTTCTACGAGGATTTAGCTGCCCAAGTATGGAAATCGGTAGCATCAGAAAATTCTGTTAAAAATGTAGGACAAGCTATGGAAAGGAGGAAAAAGTAGTTCCGCATTCTGTAGGGTTTGCTCTATAAAGGCGTTACTTGTACTTTTTCGGAGGGTTGATATAAAAGTTTTAAAAAATTGTGAAACTTGACTATCTCAAAAAGCACAGGTCCCAGATTTTGGTTATTTTCTGAAAGCTCATTGACAGTTTTGCAACAATTTCATAACCATTAGAAAGGGAATGAAATTCTGCATCGAATGCTTCCAAAATCTATTACAGACCTTTGTTCCGTCACATGTAGTGTCCGTTTGAAAAAAGCGAAATTACTTTTGTAACGACCTAATACATATCACACATACAAATTCTTTCGAATTTTTCAGAAATTTTTCGAATTATTCTTGGCAAATTTTCAATTTCGGTAACCGAAGAGTTTGAACTACCAAACTACCTTAGTGTTGCTATACCAATGCCCCCAGAAGTCCTAACAAATCTAAAAAAGATCGAAAAGAAGAATGAGAGAATCGTGAAAAATATAGAAAAAATGGAGGTTGGATTGCCTTTATAGAGATGGCTTTGTATTCACTGTAAGTGGTGTCGTGAGGGTATAGATGATGCCAGCGGATAGCCCTTTGTCCCTCCCATCTGCGCAAAATTGTCGAATTGTCGGCTATTCAGTGCGTAGAAATTTGGAGAATCTCATAATTCGGGACTTTGAGGCCTACTGCTCAGACAACTGCATCGGAAAGTTTGCGGCCTCAAAGCGTGCTACATAGCGCGCCGCAGCCTCGAAATTTCAGCCGCGCACACCGCGGCCCATATAAATTTGATGGGAACGCCGCGGCCAAAGTTATTGGGCAGATATTATCGGGAAAGTTGCGGCCTAATCACCTCACCCGGCGGGCCGCGGACCTTATCAGAGGCCGCACTTCCTACACGCTGTAGGTTAAGGCTCAACCCGCGTGAGGTACGCCGCAGTGATGGGGCTACTCTCAGTGTTTGTGAGGTTGGGTAATCGCTTCACGGGTTTGGTCCTGTCTGAGAGTTAAGTTTTTATGCTTACGAAACAAACTTCAGCAGTCGACGACATTAGATGATGTCGACAGATGAGCTAACAAGTTGCTTAATTTGCACTTAGGCCGTTGTCATGAAAGACAG